CCATACCCCTCCCCCCACCTCCCACCCCCCTGCCCCAGGAAGACGGCTTCTTCTGATTGGTTGTCTTGGGGTGGGGCGGAGGAGGGGTTTATGATTGGCAACTCGAGGTAGAGATCGGAAGGAAGTGTGGGAGGGGACGGGTGGAATCAAAGGTTGCTCCAGAGCACAGCTAAGGTGCGAGGGGAAGGAGCTAGCAAGGTGGGGGCAGACCAGGGCTGCTGAGGTCGTGTGCCAGGAGTGCAGAAAGGAGGGTGGGCAATGAGGGACGTTCTAAGAGTGGTGGAGCTCTAAATGGAAGCCCCTGCTGCTTCATGAGAGATTGTTTGCATTACTATGATGTCAACTCCTTTTCCATCAAAACAAAGCCTGTCATGCTCCCAAGGGCTTTGTGTGACAGTGTGTGTATGTACTTTTTACTGTGAAATAATTATAGATTCACAGGAAGTTGCAAAGATAGTACAAGAGAGGTCCTGTGTACCCTTTACCCAGTGGCTTCTTACCTAATTATAGAACAATATCAAATCCGGGAAATTGACATTGGTACTATGTATATACATAATTTGATGCCATTTTATCACACCTGTAGATCTGTGAAACTACCACGGTAATCAAGATACAAAACTGTTCTGCTGCCGCAGAGATCTGCCTCATGCTACCCCTTTATAGACACACCCCCCTTCTTCCCCCATGCCCCCACTCTCCCTAGCCCCTGGCAGCCACTAATCTGCTTTCCATATCTATAATTTTGTCATTTCAAGAAGGTCACATAAATGGAATCATACAGTATGCGATGATTTGCAATCAGCTTTTTCCATATAGCATAATGCCATTAAGAGCCATCCGAGTTGCTGTATGTGTCAGTCGTCTCTTTCTGTTGCTGAGCACTGTTCCACGGTGTGGATGTACCACAGTTTAACCACTACCGCATTGAAGGACATGTGGGTTGCGCCCAGTTTGGGGCTATTATAAATAAAGCTGCTATAGACATTCGTGTACTGGTTTTTGTGTGGACGTAAGTTTTTATTTCTCTGGGATATGGGTTTAGGAGTGCAATTACTGGGCCATATGGTAGTTACATGTTTAGTTTTATAAGAAATTACCAAACTGTTTTGCAGAGTGGCTGTGCCCTTTTCCATTCCCACCAGCAATGTACGAGAAATCCAGTTTCTCTGTATCCTCTCAGCATTTTGTATTGTCACTATTTTAAATTTTATTTTATTTTATTATTATTATTATTTTGTCTTTTTCGTGACCAGTAAGGGGATCGCAACCCTTGGCTTGGTGTCGCCCGCACCGCGCTCAGCCAGTGAGCGCACCGGCCATCCCTATATAGGATCCAAACCTGCGCTCCCAGCACCGCACTCTCCTGAGTGCGCCACGGGGTCGGCCCGTTAAATTTTAGCTACTCAGATAGGTTCATAGTGGTATCTCATTGTCAAACCTGCGCTCCCAGCACCGCACTCTCCTGAGTGCACCACGGGGTCGGCCCGTTAAATTTTAGCTACTCAGATAGGTTCATAGTGGTATCTCATTGTCATCTTAATTTGCATTTCTTTAATTGCTAGTGATGTTGAACATTTTATCATATGCTTATGTGCTGTCTGTAAATCGTCTTCGCTGATAAGGGTGTTCAGGTCTTTTGCTCATTTTCTAATTGAATTGTTTGTTTTACTGCTGAATTTTGAGAGTTCTTTATATATTCTAGAAACTAGCTCTTTGTTGGATATGTGGCTTACAAATATTTTCTCCCACTCTGCAGCTTGACTTCTCATCCTGTTGATAGGGTCTTTCACAGAGCAAAAATTTTTAATTTTGATAAAGTCCTAGTTATCAATTTTTCCTTTAGTTGACCATGCTTTTGATGTCAAGTCTAAG